AGGAGGATGGGAGTACAAGTACCACAAACCTAGAGTAGTGTACCCCCTAGAAGACTAACCCACTATAGCCTACACAAATAGAACAAGTATAATGTTTGACACCATCTTCGTGAAGCGATCGACGACGACGAGTACCGCGTCGTTCCCGTATGGCCCAGCTGGCAGCCCTGTGACGAAGTCCATCGTCACCTGTTGCCATGGTCGCTCGGGTGGCTCAAGTGGTTGCAGCAATCCAGCTGGCCGCTGTCGTGTCGATTTCATGGCTTGGCACACCCTGCATGAGGACACATATCGCTGCACGTCGTTAGAGGAATCAGGCCAGTAATATTGACGGTGCAACAGTTTCTGGGTTTTATCAACCCCAAAATGCCCGGAGAGGTTTGAATCGTGGACCTCTTGGATAAGGAGTTCACGCAGCAGTCGGTAAGCGGGAACCCAAATCCGGTCAGTTCCGGCCTTTAGGTAATAGTTCCCTTTTTGCGTCGTTGCCTGCTGGTGGTTTCCAGTCGTGAAGTACAGGTCCGTAGTGTAGCCGTGGGTGAATAGTCCCGTAAATAGTGGGTTTGAGTGGGTGATGAGTACTGCAGCGGATTGTACGGTTGGTCGGGTAAGGGCGTCGGCGATGTTATTCGCCCCTTTCTTGTACGTGATGCGGTAGGTGAAGTGGCTCTCCATGTAATCGAGCCAACGAACTTGTCGCGGGTTGAGGTTGGGCTGAGCTCGCAGGTACTGTAGGGACTTGTGGTCCGTGCGAACAGTGACGTCGGCGCCTACCAAGTAGCAGCGCCATAGTTTGAACGCATGTATAATTGCGAGCATCTCCTTGTCGTGTATCGGGTAGTTGCGCTCGGCAGACTGCAGCTTGCGTGATTCGTAGGCAATCGGCTGCAGCCCATCTCCGAAATCCTGGAGGAGTACAGCTCCGATGGCGAAATCTGAGGCGTCGGTGATGACTTCGAACGGCTTCGATGGGTCGGCGATGCGTAGAACCGGAGGGGAAACCAGAAAATTCTTCAGTTCCTGAAAAGCCGCTTCTGCTTCCTCCCCCCACACAAAATTGATGTCCTTGTGCAGCAGGTCGGTCAGCGGGCCGGTTATCCCCGCCATATTCGGGATAAACCTCCTGACATAATTCACAAACCCCAGAAAACTCTGAAGTTCCGTGATATTCGTCGGGGACTTCCACTCCTGTATAGCCTTGATTTTTGCCGGGTTGATTTTAATGCCGTCGCGGGAGATGACGTGGCCCAAAAACTCCAACTCTTGCTTAAAACACTCGCACTTGGAGCCCTTGGTCCTGTAGTCGCTTAAAAACTGCGTCGAGGTCGCGGAGGTGTTGTTCTCTTGTCCTGCTGAAAATCAAAATATCGTCCAAGTAGACAATAACGCACTTGTCAATAAATTCCCTGAAAACTCGGTTCATGGTCAGTTGAAAAGTCGAAGGCGCGTTTGTGAGGCCGAACGGCATCACTTGGAATTCGTAGCTTCCGTAGCGGGTGCGGAACGCGGTCTTATAACAATCGTCTGCGAAGACCCGTATCTGATGGTAACCGCCACGTAAGTCGATTTTTGAGAAGTAGCGAGCGCCGCGAAGTTGGTCGAGGAGGTCGTCGGTGCGTGGGATCGGGTAGCGAGACTTGATTGTAACCCGGTTGAGCGCGCGATAATCAATACACATGCGAAGCCCACCTTCCTTTTTCGGGGTGAACAAGATCGGGGCCGCGTAGGGAGACGTACTGGGTCTGATAAACCCCTTCTCCAACAAGCCATCAAGTTGGCTTCGCAGCTCCTCGAGTTCCGGTTGGGTCAACCGCCACTGTGTACGAACAGTCGGCTGCGCGCCAGGTTCCAGCTGTATTTTGTGGTCTTCGGGTCGCTCGGGTGGCAGTCCAGGTGGCAGGTCGTCGGGGAAAATGTCCGGGTACTGTCGTATCAGCTCCGCTAAATCCGGCGGTATAGCTGCACACAGCTTCTCAATGTCTTGTCCGTCGGTGTCGGTTGCCAACTCGCGCAAACATACAGCGTACAGCTGCGCGCCCCTGTTGAAGTGGCGAGCTATAGTGATAGCTTTGACGCACGGGGCTTGGATGTAGTCAGGTGTCCATGCAGGCAGTTTAACTAGTCCCTCGTGCTTGTTGATGCAGCACGATCCCGTTGTCCAGTCGATGACGGGGTTGTGCCGTTGCAGCCAATCACGTCCCAGCAGCACGTCGCAGCCATCCAGTATAGTCGCGAGAAACTTCATGCTGAAGCCGAAAATGTCGCCGCACTCGATCCTCACCGTCCGTGTTTCTTCTAAAATCGCCAGAGGCGTCCCATCCACTAGGCGAGCGTCAATTTCGGGCAGACACCTGTCAAGTTGCAGCTTGCATTTTTTTGCTGTCGCCAAGTTGAAGAGGCTATGGCTGGCCCCTCCGTCGACGAACATTTTCAGAGTAATTTTTAACACTGTGCCAACGACCAGCACAGGGTGATCCACATGAGTATCCCCGTTATTCGGCCGAGTGCGATCGATTGCGTGAATCGGAACCACTACTCGGTGGGGATGTTGGTGTTCGGGCGACGAAGCATAGTCAGTAAGGGGCCCGTAAATTACTGACTCTTCCCATTTCCCTGCTCCCTCCTGTCGTTCCCTTTCGCCGGTGTTTTCTCGGGGCATTCTCTTGCGTAGTGACCCGTCTTCCCGCACTTAAAACACGTCCCTGTAAAGGGGCGGTCTGGTGCGTGGACTACGTTGATTGTGGCCCGTTGGGTCTGTCCACGAAAACGGATTCCTTCCCGGGAACCTGTCCTCGCATACTGCATCAACGCGTCTGTGGACTCAGCTAGCCGTATGGCTTCCAGGAACGAAGTCGGGCGGCATCGACGCACCTCGTACTGTATCTCGTATTTCAGGCCGCCGATGTATTTATCTAACCGCTCCGCTTCCGCCATGTCGTCCACTTGGTCAGCAAAGGCCATAAACGCCGCAGTGTAGTCTTGAACAGATGCCAACTGCGACCAGTTACGCAGCTTCATGCGAGCTTGCTCCGAGGCGGATACGTGCTCGAAGCGATCTCGTAAGGCTGCGCCCCACTCCTTCCACGTGCGTGTCTTGGTCACTCCGAAGATTGAGGTTGCCCCTTGATTAGCCGATGTCAAGGTCCCGTCTGCCGCATGTGTCACACCTGTCGGAGTCCCTGTGTCCAAGGTGTGGCGCCACCATTCAAGCGCTGCGCCTCGAAGTAGAGAAACCGCGTAATTAATACGCGTGGCATCGTCGTAGACGTTCGCTGCAGTGAAGAAGACTTCAACGCTGAATAACCACCCCTTCACTGTAGTCGTCTTGTCCGTGGGGTTGAACTGGGGCGGGTTCGCAGGTTTAATCTTGATCGTCGTAACTGCAACTGGCGTTGCTGCCGCTCGTTGCCTGTCTTCCTCTTCAAAGCCACGTGTGAGCGCGTCCAAAGGATTGCTCATCGCTTGACTGTTGCCTTCACCTTCTTCATCGGGCGGCTCCTGACGCGTTTCACCTCGCGTCTGGCGTAGCTCGGTGTTTTCCACACGTAGTGTTGTCACTTCTGCCGAAAGACTCTGCACTGTTGCTTGTAGCTCTTGCATTTGCGCCATCATCTTGTTCAACGTTTCCTGGTCCATGAGTCGCACGCTTCGTCTGGTGGGCAGAGGGGTATCCGTGGCCTTGCAGGCAAGAGGAAAGCAAAAACTATCGGAGTCGGGCAGGTTGGAGTTAACTAACCTTGCAGCCAACCGTTTTGCAGTCCTCTCTACCAAGCCAACCCGTGCCACCAAACTACCCTCGAAAAGCGGGGTGAACTAGGAAAGTAGCTCTGATACCAGGTGTTATGAGTTGTAATGGAGAGTGCGCGGAATAACGAATAACGAAGCTGTGACTTAATCAACTGTCGATTACAATGAAGGCACGCGATTATATAGTGAGTGTCCTAGCTAGGAGGGAACCTCGGGAAACGAGGTTGGGTGCAGGTTTGGCGACGGAAAGCCGAAGGCGACGCGGAGGAGCCTCGGTATCGTTGATGTCGGCCAAACGTGCGAAGTCCGAAAATCGGGGTTGTACGCGTAGCAGTCAACCCCGGTAAGGATAAAGGAAAAATCCTTACACGTATGATCAAGGGAGTATGGTAATTTAAAGCTCATACACGCGTCTTACCATATTGGTGGTCAATCAATCAGCCACGTATCTCTCTTTTGTACGCTCCAAAGGCACTTCCTTTTTCAGATTTTGAACTGCACCCCGTACATTTTTCATCTTCTCTTCTAGAGAAAGCTTACGGCAAATAGATTGGCTCCAGGTTTTGCATGCTGAGGCTTCGGGGTTAGAAGCTAGTCTCATCGCACTTGAAACGGAAAGCATCGGTATAATCATGGCGTCCGTGAGTATAGCCGCAGCTGCCGGAGCCTCAACAGCCACACTCTCCAACGGGAAGAATCGGTTTCCCTTAAGCAGAAAAGGCAATGTCTGCAATCCCGCGTTCTCGCTCATGTCGACCGTACATTGAACATTCCCGCGCTTAGAATGACTCCGCGTCGCTGGCCAGGCGTCCGCGTCAGCTAATCGGACGGTCGTCGCGGCCGCCACGTCGCCGGGCGGCCAAGCGCCAATCAGAGCGCTCGTATTCGACTGCGTCGGGGTGGTTCTCGAGTCGGAGGATCTCCATCGGCGCGCTTACAACGCGGCGTTCGCGCACTTTGCGATTCGGTGCCCGGGAGAGAACGCCGTCGTTGATTGGACGACGGAGTTTTACGATGTTCTGCAGAATAAGATTGGCGGCGGGAAACCCAAAATGCGATGGTGTGTGTGTCCCTCATGAGTAGTCGTAGACTCGTAGTGTTCATTTAGGTCTACACCACCGCTCCCATACCCCATATCACATGTTCGCATTCCATTGCCTTACATCCGATTTATCACATTGCATTGCACTCCATTCTAATCCATGGTATGCTGACTGCCAATTCATGCCTGATACTCGTCACACTGTCACCAGGTACTTCAATAAAAATGGGTGGCCGCATTCGTCGGTTCTGCCCGCCCCTCCCACCACGGATGCTGACAAGGGCGTGCTTATAGGCACGCCGCAGGTGATGCCTGGTGCAGGTGATACTTCGTGCAGGTGATACTTGGTGCAGGTGATGCTTGGTGCAGGTGATACCTGGTGCAGTTGATGCTTGGTGCAGGTACTTGGTGCATGCAGACAATGTGACTGTATGGAGACAATCCGTCACTGGTGCTGTAGCCTTTCCATCAAACTGTTTCCCTCATTTCCTCCCTCTCCGCTCCAGTTCCCCTGCCACATCTCTCTGCTTTCCTCTTGCCCCTCTTGCTCCTTGTGTCTCCTCTCTGCATACCTCCTCTTACCAGAGTGACTAGCAAGCTGGCTGAAAAGCTGCATCTCATTATGTGCTCCTCGTTTTCTTGTGTCTCTCTCTGCGTCCTTCTGTGCTCCCACCCCACGTGCTCCCACCATGCGTGCTCCCACCAGGATTGGAAGACGGACAAATACCAGCAAATGATTGGGTCGGGCCAGGTGAGCAGATGATTGGGTCGGGGCTGATGTGTGCATGATGGTGACATGACAATGTACAGATCCCTCAGTTAGTTGTTCTTAGTTCCAACATATGGTGTCGTTTCTGTATGTGGTTCTAAGAATGGCTGCACCCTTCACCAGCTCGTGACAGTCTCGCTCTTCCCTCCTCCCCCCTTCCCTCCCTCCCTCCCTCCCTCCCTCATTCCCTCCGGTTCCTCCCCCCTTTTCCTCCGTACTCTCCCCTCCCTGCAGATGCCAGTGCGGCCAGGCGTGTTAGAGCTAATGGATGAAGCGAGACAGGCAGAGTGCCATGCTTCCTCTTCCCAAGCCCCACCTTCCCCTTTCCCCTTCCCGTTTCCCGCTTCCACCTCACCACCCCTCCCTGCAGGTGCCAGTGCGGCCAGGCGTGTTAGAGCTGATGGATGAAGCGAGACAGAGGGTACGTGGAGGGATGGGGGTGGAAGAAGAGGGCGAGCGGGGGATGAAAAGAGGAAGGAGCCGCATGCGGGATAGGAGTGGATGTGCCTTTTGAGACGGGATTTAACGCCCTTAAAATGTTGTTTCTTGACTGGAGGTATGGGGGTAGGGGGGTATAAAGAGGACGAGAGACTCTCTGCCGTTCCCGGTCTCTTCCCCTTCTCCCCATCCTCCCCCCTCCCCTGCGGCACTGTCAGGGTGTGCTGGTGGCGGTGTGTTCTGCAGCCACCAAGAGCTCAATAGTCATTTGAATCAACTCAACCCCCACTTCCCCAACTGTCGGACCCCTTCCCCCTCGCTCTCCCTGCCCCCACCCCTTCTTCTCAGGGTCTGCTGGTGGCGGTGTGTTCTGCAGCCACCAAGAGCTCAGTCGTCTTCACTCTCACTAGCCTGCTCGGGAAGGTAGTTGTTCATTCCCCCACACTTTCTTTGTATGGTGCCTCAAAAACAGTATTTACTCTCAATAAGCTTCTGGAAAAGGTACTCTTTACACTCCTCCTTTGCCGCTCCTTTTCTTCCGTCTTTCCCCCCTCGTATTCCTTTCCAGGAGTGGTTTGAGAGACTGGATTGCTTCTTGGCAGGTGCGTGTCTCTTACCTGCCACTCATCTGCTTCCTTTCTCACGCGTTTTATCCCATTGCGTTTTCTCCGAGCCTAAAGAAGCACCAAGATTGCAAAAACTGTAACCTGTCTACCGTGCCTTGTCGTGATTTTGTTCCTGAATCTAGGCTGGCCCAGCCTTCCTCCTAACTAGTTCCTCCACTCTCCAATCGCTCCAAACTTTTTCCTAAATCCACATCCGTCTCATAAACCTTACTGTGTGTCTCCACCTCTCTTTTTCCTCCACCATTGCTCTGCTCTCCTCACGTGCCACCAGGCGACGTGAACTGTGTGTCTCCACCTCTCTTTTTCCTCCACCATTGCTCTGCTCTCCTCACGTCCCAAAGAAGAAGCCAGATCCCACCATTTAAGATTTCAGCACAGGTGAGATTGCAGCACAGGTGAACTCTGCTTGCTTTTGAGTCGACTCAAGAGTCGTCACTTCCGAATAACAACTGTTTCTTGCCTGCCGTTTACATTCATGAATGGCGGGTGGCGGGTGTTTAGGGGTGGATGTTTAGGGGTGGATGTTTAGGGGCGGGCACCGTTAGAGGGCGGGCGTCGTTTGCTAGAGGGCGAGCACCTTAATCCAGGGGCGCGCCTTAATCCAGGGGCGCGCCTTAATCCAGGGGCGCGCCTTAATCCAGGGGCGCGCCTTAATCCAGGGGCTCGCCTTAATCCAGGGGCGCGCCTTAATCCAGGGGCGCGCCTTAATCCAGGGGCGCGCCTTAATCCAGGGGCGCGCCTTAATCCAGGGGCGCGCCTTAATCCAGGGGCGCGCCTTAATCCAGGGGCTCGCCTTAATCCAGGGGCGCGCCTTAATCCAGGGGCGCGCCTTAATCCAGGGGCGCGCCTTAATCCAGGGGCGCGCCTTAATCCAGGGGCGCGCCTTAATCCAGGGGCGCGCCTTAATCCAGGGGCGCGCCTTAATCCAGGGGCTCGCCTTAATCCAGGGGCACGCCTTAATCCAGGGGCGCGCCTTAATCCAGGGGCGCGCCTTAATCCAGGGGCGCGCCTTAATCTAGGGGCACGCCTTAATCCAGGCGCACGCCTTAATCCAGGGGCGCGCCTTAATCCAGGGTGTCACAGAATTCATTGACTGCATAAGTAATTCATTCTGTTAACGCTAATGTGGTGTAGTATGATGTGCTGTAGCAAGTGGGATTGGGGTGTAGAGTGTTATTTCGCTTTGTAAGCAGGTTGGTGGACAGCAGGGGGAGTGACGCGAAGTTGGTGGCCTGGGGACCAGCGAGGCGCGCAAGAAGTGAGCCCAAGAGCCTCGAGCAATTGGGGAATCACCAAGCAGGGGCGGCGCAAGGATAGAGTGTCACCTGAGGCAAGGGGGCGACGTAGGGAAGGGCGAGAAGAGACCCACGCAAGGGACAGCGGGAGGCGTAGCCCGAGCCCAGAATGGCATAAGAGGTCTGAGCGTGGGAGGGAAGGCTCGAGGGGAGCAAGAGCAGCAAGGGAAGGCATAGAGCGTGCGTTGTACGGGGGGAGCACGAGGAGCAGGGAGTCAGGGGCAAAAGGAAGAGAGTATGGTCAAGCGACAAGGGGGGAGTCAGGGACGTGGGAGACAGGAAGATGGAGTGCACCAGCAATGCCACGGGTGGAAGTGCCGGTGAGGTTCACGGGAGACACGGGGACAGGGAGCAACCTGAGGAATTACCTCATGCAGATCGGTAATGTGAAGTACCGCTGTGACCGTAGCGGGATGGACCCAATTGAGTTTTTCTTGAGTCTGCCTAATACGTTGGGAGGGGAGGCAGAGACACTTTACCGCATGAAAATGAAGGAGTGGCTGAGAAGGGCGGAAGAGAATGAGGAGGACCCCACCACACTGTTCCTGGAGCGCCTTCGGAAGCAGTTCCCGGGGCATACGGCGGAAAGGATTAGGGAATTTCAGGAGTTCAGACGGGGGAAGACCGAGTCGCTACTCACCTACTACGTGAGATTGATGAACCTGGCAGAGGACGTGGTGTGCACGGACGGTAGCATGCTCATAAGTAAGTTCCTGGGGGGACTGGACAAAGGACTGAGTGGGGGACTGAGGATGCGGGTGTATGAGCTGGGGGCAGAGGCGACGCTGGAGGAGGTGTTTGAGCTGGCGGAGAAGGTGGAGCTGGCGCAGCGGCGGTATGAGGCATACCTGCCAAAAGCAGCAGAGGAAAGGAGACCTACCTGGGCAGCAGCAATGATACCGGAGGAAGGAGTGAGGGAGGAAGGTCGGCAGGAGAGGAGGACAGATACACGCACCTGTCACAGGTGCGGGCAACCGGGGCATATAAAGAGGGACTGCAAGAATTGCGACACATGTGGAAAGCCGGGGCACCGCCGCAGGGAATGCCCGGACGCGCCTAAGTGTGAGGTATGTGGGAAGCGGGGACATCAGGCAAAAGACTGCTACCAGAGGACAGGTGGACCAAAGAGATCGTCGGAGGACATAGAAAATCAGATCGGCAGACTGCAGGCGCAGCTGCAGGCTATGGGAGGGAAGAAGGAATGTATGCAAGGGAGGAGGAAGAAGATGAGGAGGAGAAGGAGGAGCAGAAGCCGGAGTGGTCATTTGCGGTGCTGAGGAGCAGAGAGGAGTTGGGATTGCGCAGCGGAGGAGTGGATAAGCGCAAGGAGCAGGTAGTGAAGGAACGCCGCAGACCTGAGCATAAGACAGCGAGGACAGAGGGGAAGGCTGGGACAGCCCACCGTCACCCCAAGGACAGGTTAGCCAGCCAGACGACAGTGCTAGTAGTTGAAGCAGGGGCCATAACAGTGGGGGGGGAGCGGGCAGGAACAGCTATCATAGATACGGGGGCACAGAGCGTGATGCTGGGGAAGAAGATGGCACAAAAGCTGGGACTAACGGGGCCAGGACAGTACGTGAAGAAGGGGATGCTGGTGATGACTGCAGAGGGAGGGGCGCCGAAGTGGATGCCGAGCACGAGGACACCTGTGGAGATAGTGCTGCTGCCGGGACAGGAAGGGGAGACAAAGATCCGAGTGCAGTGCGGCCTCTCGGACTCAGAAGATTTTGACGTGCTACTGGGTACCGACCTGGTATACAAAGTGGGGATGACAATATGCACGTGGAAGGAGCAAGTGGAGTTCAGGAGGCAGTACTGGAATGAGCAAAGTGAGGTGGGGGCATTACCTGTGCAGTTCGTGAAGCAGGAGCCAAAAAGGGCGTATGCTGCAGGACAGGGAGGTGAGAAGGGAGCAGAGCCGAATAGCACGGAGAACAGGAGGAGCAGCTGGCTACAGCCGATAAGGATGGTGGAATTGTTCGGGGGAATAGGCGCAGGATTGGCAGCAGTGGTGAAGGCAGGGGTGGCAGTCAAGGAATGGATCTATGTGGAGCAGGACGCACGTGTGCGTAAGATGGCAGAGAACCACGCAAGGAAGCTGCAGGAAGAGTTCCCAGAGCTGTTGGGGGGGGATGTGATAGAACGGGCCATGCGCGGGACAGTGACCGATGTGAGACGCATAACACGGGACATGGTGCGCAGCTGGGGGCATGTGGACCTGCTGGTGGCCGGGTGGGAATGCCAAGGGGTATCAAGGGCTGGAAAGGGGAAAGGTATGGATGATCCCAGGGGGGTACTGCTGCTGGACCTGCTGCACATCATGGACTGGATAAAGGAAGGACAGGGGGAGATAACATACTTGCTGGAGCACTTAGATTTGGAGGGAGACTTGAGGGAGCCTGTGAGAAGAGTGAGGGAATTAGTGACAAAGCGGCTGGGGAAGGGAGTTAGGTGCGATGCAGCAAGGCTGGGGGCACGAGCGCACCGGGTAAGGCGCTATTGGCAGAACGTAGTACCGGAGGATCAGCTGCAGAAGGAGCTAGACGGGGTGAAGCGGTCATGGGACAGGACAGTGAGGGATATATTGGAAGTGGGAAGGACGGCGGCACCAGTAAAGAGGGGTAGACATGAGACACAGTGTCCGTGTAACAAGGTGGGGGAGGAGCGAAGGGCATGGCCGACTCTGGTGGCCTTTGAGGGAGTGGCGGGATTTAGGATGGAGAACGGCGAGGCAGGAGAAGGGATGGTGTACGACCACCGAAAGAAGCGGTGGGAAGAACCGACAGCACTGGAGCGAGAACTGGCGATGGGGTATGGGGAAGACATAACACGGGCGGAGGGAGTCACAGAGCAGGAGAGGCGCGGTGCGCTGGGAAGGGCAATGGACGGACAGGTAATGTTGTGGCTGACGCGCAGGATGTGGAAGGGACTGGTCTGGGACAGCACGCAGGGGCAGAAGGAGGCAGGGAAAGAAGCAGAGAAGGTGGGGGCATGGGCATGCATTCCAGCAACAGCAAAGGAAGCAGAGTGGGAGGTGGGAGATGCAATGGGCCCCGAGGGAAAGAGGGCACTGAAGGCGGTGCTGGCCAGGTTCCGCCACGCCTTCGCCTTTACCTTACAGGAGTTGGGAAAGTGCACCGTCAAGGAGATGGAACTGAAGCTGATGACGGAGGAGCCGGTATTCCAGAGGAAGCGGAGAATGGCGCCAGGAGATGCGGATATCTGCAAGGAAAAATGCAAGGAGTTAATGGAGGCGGGGCTGATTCAGCGATCCGAGTCCGAGTATGCCACGCCGACCGTGATAGCGGCTAGGAAGGACCTGACGGGGGAGATACTGAGCAGGCGCATGTGTGGGGACTACAGAGCGCTTAACAAGGTGACCGTGCCAGATCGCTACCCCATGCCAACTGCGGAGGAAATATTTGACAGGCTAGGGGCAGGGGAGATATTCAGCACGCTAGACTTAAGACAGGGGTTCAATCAGATTCGGATGAGAAAGGAGGACGTGCGTAAGACCGCGTTTCATGGAGCGGACGGACTGTACGAATGGCTTTTCATGCCTTTCGGGCTAAGAAACGCTTCAGCAATCTTCCAGAGAGTCATGGATAGCGTGCTGCGGAACTTGGACTGCGCCGCCTGCTACATAGACGACGTAGTCATCTTTAGCAAGACAGAAGCTGAGCACGTCAGGGATGTGGAGCGAACGCTGGAGGCTCTGGCAGCGGCGGGACTCACCTGTCACCCGAAGAAGTGCAGGTGGGGAGAGGCGACGGTGCACTACCTGGGGTATGAGGTGCGGGGCGGACAAATAGGGATCCAGAAAGCGAAAGTGGAGGTGTTAGACCGACTGCAGCAGCCGAAGGACAGGTCAGGACTCAGGGCAGTGTTAGGCTTCCTAAGCTACTACCGACGCTTCGTGCCCAACTTCAGTAAGCGGGCAGCAGCGCTCAACGGCTTGCTACGTGAGGACAGGAAGTGGGATTGGGGGGCAGAGCAGCAAGAGGCGCTGAAGGACCTCATGGAAGCAGTGAAAACAGGGACCATACTGCAGCTGCCACAAGCGGACAAGCCATTCTGCTTGTA